TTTCAACAGTGGCTATGGCCAAGACTAAAACCAAATGATCCAAGACTGACCAGGTGGGTGGAAATAGGAGAGGTGGTCTGAAGGACCACAAGGACAGCGTGGCTCAGGTTCAAGCTGCAGGTAGCAGTGGAGACAGCCGGTTACAGAACTCGGTGCACTTTACTAACGGGGTGAGAAACTTTGGTAAGTTTGTTAAATAACTACATATTTAAATGTAAGTGCGACTTCTAAAACAATGTAAAAAGTGACCTCTCCATCATTTTCTTACTGACAGATCCCAGGTGACATCTCTTGGTCATGATCTCCCAGTGGAGATCAATGGGAAGGATGGCGAGGACGCTGCTCCTGCTGCTCGTGAGCTCTGATGAGCCACGCAGCGCCAGCACCATCGCAGGTGCTTTCGTAGGCAGTGCTACACGCTCAGCAGACATGCAGTGTTAGTTGATAACACTTGGGTTTCAGTTTAAATTAGCCAATTTAAGTGGGTTTAATTAAATTAATTTACTTGACAGCTTTAAATTTAATTCAAAATAAAAAAATTAAATTTTAACTTAACCCACATGCCAAGTTTAAGCATGTACCTTTCGTCGTGTCTACATTTCATAGTTGTGAAACACAGTCACGTGTTCCAGGCTAGCCTGCTATGTGCAGAGAGCAATTCGGATGTCCTTGGGATTCCTAATGACTCCATCCAGATGAGGAACTTGGCTTCAGAAACCGATAGATATGCTTTTGAATTGTGGCCTACATCCAGGTGCACCATACTGAGGGCTCTGCTACAAATCTGGAACCTTAAGTTCCCCTGTATAGGACAAGGGGACCACCCAGCACTCCTAGGCAGGCTGCGGAGCTGAGCCGGTACAGTGGGGAAGGTGTTTATGGCAGCCACCACTTCTCAGCAGATGGTTTCCAAGTGCTATTTAGAAGTAACAATTTAACTTGGGAAGCTAAATTGTGTTAGTTCTTGTTAAAATCTAAGTAAGTCTTTATGAAATTTTCTTGCAGTGTTACATCGTAGTAGGGTAACATCAGTTGTAGCAAATTATTAGATATTTTATGAGGAAGGAGAAGAGCACAGTTGCAAGGCTCCCCCCCAAAGAACTGATCAATGTATGAGGAGACTGACATGCTAATGATTCTGATTGGATCACTGCACATTGTATACCTATATTGAATTATCACACTATACCCTATAAATATTATAATTATGTCAGTAAAATAGAAAATAATAAAAATTTTACATAAAAAGAATATAGAATTTGAAGTCAAAGGCCAAATTCTAGTCCTTAATTCATAGCTGAGGAACCGTGGGTGGTTTGTTTTCTCCTCTATCGTGTGTCTGCTGAAAATACCAATCACACTGTGCTTATTTACGTGAACCCAGGTGAGCCAAAGTGCCTGACTTTCAGTTCTACCCTAAAATGACTCTAAAATAAAAAAGTCCACTGCTTTCTGCTTATACAAGACCTTTAAGGAGCATTGCCTTGAGGTAAGGGGCGTATGTGGGGCCCTGGGATTGCCACAACACAGTCAAGGTCACAGAACCTCAGAGAAACCTACTCCTTTCCCCAAAGCTTCTAACACATTTGCAGTGTGTTAAGCAGCGTTCTGAGCTTATTTCTCCAGCGGGCCCCTGGTTTCCTTGATCTATGGTACTCCACGCCCTTCGATAGGCGAGTGCGGAGAGGCCAGCTTCACAAGAGCCTGCACAGGCAGTGCAGTGGGGTACATCTGGAGTTTCTGGTCCTGCAGCTCCTGCCGCTGGGAAGCCCCCTTCAGAACCTTCCCCTTTTTCAATGCCTCCTTCTCATTTATTCCACTCTAGTGGTGGTTTTTCCCTGTGGTAATGATGGGCCTCTAGTTTTAATTGCATGTGCCATATTTCTGTGAAACAATTGTGTGTCATACAGTATTACTTTTTTCACTAGTGATTAAGGAAGGATCCTTGGTTCCATGTAGGAAGCCCTTCTGTTTGTTCCATGGTATATCTGTATATATCTGTAGTCCCTTGTATTAGCCCATGTTGATTGATAATCGGTGCTTACTAAACTCTTCACTCTAGACAGAGAGAACTTGTACTGAGACTTTGGTCCTGTCCAATGTGCTGGGCCTCCCCAGGAAGGTGGGGAGTTTTGGGAGACATCTGGATGCTGAGGTAGGGGTGACAGACAGGATCCTATTGGAAGAGTTTTCACAATGGACCCATTCTTACACAAATCGACCTTGTTTTACTGTGCAATGTCAACAACATTGGAAGAACTCAGCTCAAGTGAATGTGGACCCTTCAAAGCTACCATTTAGGGGCGACTTTGCCCACGAAACTGAGTATCACTTACACCGTGCTACAAGCAGTGAACAGCCCGGGGAGGCTCTCACACCGCTGTGACTGCAGGATTGCTCTCCTTGGCCCCAACCTTCCTCTGAATTCCTTTCTCTCTTATCCTGGTTATTTGCAGGTGCTTCTTTTTGAATTTTCCAGTTTAAATACACATAGTTTTAAAAATATATATTTTCTAAGTATAGGTGTTATTTGTTCCTTTACAGATAAAAAATTAAACAAATAAAAACTGGATGTGGAAATCCTATAAATCAAGTGTTTCCTTCCTTTCTCCTTTTTTTTCTCTGTTTTCCTACTTGTCTTCTCAGACTCAGATGAGGTAGAAAATATCAGAATTTCATAGCTCTACTTTCTAGTCTGGGCAGCAAGAGTGATTAGAATTCTCTCCTGGAATTTGGGGTTGGGGGAACCGGCAGGGTCGGTTGAAGGAACCAGGGCCACCTGTGAGCCTATCCACGGGCTTGTGACATTCCACAGTGTCCCTGTCCCTGTGGTGAAGTGGGCCAGGTGGGGGCACTGCACCTCCACCAGTGGCTGAGCCTGGCTTGTTTTGTGGGGTTTCCGGAAGTTCTGTCCTAAATGCAGCCCTGAGGCAGTACAGTAACCACCCCCCTTGCCGGTGGGAACTCCCTTCCTCTCCTCCCTCGCCCAGCTCCAGATCCATCCTCCACTCTGTCTCAGGCTAATGGCGCTTTAGAGAAAGATCAAAGTCTCATAGATAAGTGTTCTTTTACACAGTGTTCCTGACACTCCATTTGGTAAACAGTTTTTTTTTTCTTTTTTTGTTAGAAGAACATATAAACATGCCAAGTGAGATGGATAGACTGCTGCTTTTCTCTTTCATTTCTTGTCCTGATGACAGCGACCATGCAGGGTCCAGCCACGGTGCTCTCCCGAGATGGCCACGCTAGGCTGCTGCACGGGCCGGAAACAGTCTGAATAAAAATGTAAGAAATGATGCCAAGTACAAGCTAGAGACTGGCAGTCTCCTCAGATTTCTATCTCCTTTGCCATTCGATGGCAGGTTTTCCCCCTTTTAAAATAATGTCTTAAAAGTGTTCTCTGTAAAAAGTAAAACTTCTTTGTGCTTAATGTCCTTCCTAAAAAACCAGCAAATAATGTCCTGATTGCCAGATCCTGTCTGCAAAAGAAAGCACCCTACAAAGAAAAGCATGAAGGAAATTTAACTCCTTGTGTGTTTCTCCTATATAGCTCCTCCAAAAAATGAGAGTAATTATAAATACACAAACAGAAAGCATATAAGTGCTTCCAGTGTTGTAAGATAGACCTTTCAGATGAGTAATTTCAAACAGGCTTCCGTGACTGTTGGCACAAAGGCTCCCATTTCCCGGGCATCGGTGACTGCTACAGTACCTGACAGTATTCTCGGGGGGTTTCTCCTTCCCTTTTTGGTTTGAAGCAGATGGCTTCCTTGGGCTCCGGTGAAAGGGCTACTTCTGATCTACAAAGAGCAATGCTGGTTTTCACTTTGACTTCTTTCGGAGTGGGATGGACAGGATGCTGTCATGAGAAAGCTCTGGAGGAGGACCTAGTCTGACACAGTGCAGTTCTCCATTCTCCTGGGAGATCAGGGAGTCCACTGATTTTGGCCCAGGCCAGGGTGCCTTTCTGTCTTTCTAAGCACTGGGGTAGTACATCTGCTCCCTGAATCCAACAGCCTGGGCAGGTCCTCTTAGTGAGTGTGGCCAGGGGCGATGGGGCCACAAGGACCCTTGCTGGCCCACTGCGTGGAACCTGGCACTCATTCCGTGGCCTCCTGCCTTGCCCTCTGCCCAGTGCACCAGCATCCCTGCCGCCAGAGCTGGGCCATCAGGCGTGGAAAACAGTGGGATGCTCTCTACTCCTTCACTGCTACAGTCCGGAACCCGTGGTCAGGGTGCTTGAGTTTTTTTAGCTTAATTCTGGTTGCTTAAAAACACATAAGCATAGTGCTGAGCTTGGTGGGCTCACTTTATTCCTCCTTTTAGAAGCCTTTTGTGTTTGCCGATGAGAGAGAAGTCCTGATAGGCCAGGGCGGCGCACACAGCTTTTGAGATACTGTGAACAATGTGATACGAATTTCCAGAACTCCACACCCTGCATGCCCCTACACCTGTTTTATTTATTTAATTTTAATGAGTGTCATTGACCATGAAATGGGAGACAAAGTTGCTCTGCCAGACAGAGATTTTTAAATGCTTCAAAGTTGTTTTCGCTGTCACTGTGTTCCTGCGTGCTTCATTCAGGCAAAATCTGATCTAGTCATTCTGTGTCGAGGGCCTGGTTTCTCTATTTTGCATGAAAATTTTTCATTAAAAAATCCAAAGAGCAAAGTTGCTGAGTGAGCACAGGGCGAATTGGCCTCTCCGAGCTGGACTCCCTGTAGACCAGCTCACGACCTAAGAAAAATGAGTGGATGGGCTCAGCTCTGTCTCTAATGAACAGCAGTAGATCACATCACAAAAACTAGACACGCATAATTTGGCATCATTGACAGTGGCCTTCCCACCAAAGGCTCGGGGCTTTTATGTCTGTGCTGACTTGAAGCTTGGAACTGTCTTTGACCTTAAAGCGTGGGGGCTCAGGGCGGGGAGTAGGTGGGAGGGGCTTGGCTCTTGGTCTCTGGTGATGGTCCCTTCTGCCTCAAAGGAGGAGCCCTGGGTCCCTCTTGCCTGGCTTGACAAGGGGAACCACTGGAGGCTTCCCTCACTGTCACCCCAAAAGGTGCCCTCTGCAGGGAGCTGGCAGGGAGGAGAGGACAACGGGCAAACAACCACAAATCAGGGCTGTCCTGATTAAATCAGGCATGGATGGCAAGTAAGTTATTAGCGCCTGTGAAACTAATTGGGATACTGATACACTCATTTTTGCAATGTCTTTCAAATACCAGTTGTGATGGGAAACAGCTGTTATATCCAGAAAAATATATAAAAGGGAAGAAAGAAAGGAAGAGAGCTTCGGATTCAAAATCGTAATAATGTCTGTCTCCTCTTTTCCCTTTCACAAAAGCTTTTAGATTCTCCTATTCTCTCTAGACAATTACTCACAGCAGGCGGGTCAGCCGGGACGAGCACACTACTGCATTTAAAGTTCATCTGCTGAAGGGAAAAAGACAGAAAGAGAAAAAAGGATCTCTTTTCTTATGGGGGGGGGTTGTTTAAAATAGGCAAGAGATTCAGGTTGGCGGGGAGGGGGGAGTCAGAAGGGGGCAGAACCATGGTAAATGGGGCTGATTGACTCCTGGTGTCCTTTGGATGCAAACAGAGGTAGCCAGAATCTTTACCGAGGAGGCCGTGCTGAGGGGGCTCCGTACACCACTCCAACGTCCTGCACAAACACTCTGCGTTCCTCCCCCAGTCTGGGCCCTGCTGCCTGGCCAGAGCTGGGTGGGTCCAGATGTGCCTCCCCTGCCTCCTCTGCTCTGCCTCTTCACTGCCTGAGCCTCTGTGTCCTCCCCAGGATCAGCTTGTACTGCTTACACAATCAGGAAGAGCAGGTGTCCAGAGCTCTGGGCAGGCTCCACTGCTGCATTGTCAGAGGGAGAAGGCGGCTAACTCCTCTGCCGGGACTCTGTCTGTCCTCCAGGGATGTGTGTGTCAGCTCTGCCATTTACAAGTGTGTGTCACTCTACAACAGAGGGCACGTGGCCCTGCCTGTGTGGAGAGACAGAGTCACACACTGCTATGTTCTTGCTTTTTGGCCTCTTCACTTTCCCGTGGTGTCCCTGTGCCATGCACCCCTCCTTGCCTCCCCCCAAAAAGAAACCACCCGGGCAAGGTTTATCTTCCTTGGAGCCTCAGAATGGACCAAAATCCTTTTGTTTTACACAGGGCAAGTTGTTTAAAGCTTTAAAGAAATTTAAAATATGGGTGCCTGTGACTAGATCTTCTATTTTTCATACCCAATATAATGTACTCCAGACAGTTAAAGTTGTACCACGCTTATTAGAGGCCATGGATCAAGTCTCTTTTTGGTCCCCGATCTGAGCATTCAGATGCGCCCTGTCTCCTCTCCCACTCACTAGGTGAGGGGATCCCTAGCAGGGGATCACCAGAGCTCTCAGGGACCCCCTGTCACTGCAGCACTGACAGGGCTCAGGGTTAATGGAGCACTCCCCTGTGGGGAGTGTGAGGGGGAGCGCTGCTCCCCAGTGTTTAGTGACTGGGCTGGCTTTGCCTCCCTGCCTCCTGCTGCCTGGGCTCTAGCCAGCTCTCTACAGAGTGCCCAAGTGGAGCCCACTGAAACCCTTGTGAGGATCTCTCTGGAATCCACCAGTCGGGTCCCTATCTGCTTAGAGCCCCTTTCTTCTCTTGACTCACAAGTCAGAGGCCAAATGTGGCCTGAGTAGCCTCCTGCCCCTTTAGGGACCCAGCCGCCTTATGGCCTGGTTGTGCTAGGCTCCTCCTAGCAGCCCTGATAGAAGATATCTGGAGGCACTTGGTTTGCTGGTGGTTTGTATTTCTCTTTGCTGTCTACAAGGTCAGAGCCCTGGGCATGACTTAAAAGGCTTCAGTGCTAGAAACTGGAAGGAGGAGAATCACAAGTTTGAGTTAAGCTTTGGCAACTTATTGAGATCTTATCTCAAAATAAAATAGAAAAAATGTTGGGGCATAAATCACTATATTCTGGGTTCACACTCATCAGTATCACAAAGCAAAATCAAACCAAACCAAACCCAAACAACTTCCTCCTCACACAAGTCAAAAACAAAAAACACCCCTCAAAACCCGCCAAAACAAACACACACACAAAATATCCAGTAATTGTACTGACCTCCAGTTGTGCCTGAAACAGACAATGAACATTCTTTATAGGATATGTCTCATGGTCCTGTTAGCGTTAAGTCCTGGCCTACTAATCCACCCTTTGAAATCGGTCCCTTCGTGTTATGCCGAGGGGCTCAGTCTCCAGCAGCGGTGAGGTGAGCTTGCACAGGGAAGAGGGCACTCTAGACTTGGCCTGCCCAGGCCCACAGCTTTCCTGCATCTCCCTGTGAGACTCAGCAGGGTGCTGGCAGGTTCTGCTGTGTGTATGGAGACTGTATATCAGGAACTGTGGCTTGCACAGGCTGCTTTTCTGTTCTGCACAAGCCTGTACTGCAGGATTTTCTGCTTCTTCACAGGAAACATATTTCACCTACTTGCTTTCCTTTCCCGGGAAGGACGGAAGCCACTTCAGGATAATATTCTCCACGTAAGTTCCAGGGACTCTGGTTCCAAAACTCGCCCTTGGCGCCTGAAGCACAGTGATTAATAAAAGTGGAACAAGAAAGTTGGATCTGAGCAGAATTGATCAGAAGGGACACTGCCTCCCTGATTTCTGGAAGATTTGCTCTTGTGCTTGACATTAAAATGAAAGGCATATTTGGGATGGATGTCTTCACAATCAAGACATCATGAGTGAGCTCAGCAATGTCCCAGAGGGGCTGTTGCTGAGCAAGGATGGGCATCAACTTTTTATTATATGCACTGTCGCCCCTGTAATTACCGTAGTGTTAGCAACATGATTTATGGGTGGTGCAAACAGATTTGTATGGAATTTCTCTGAAATGTGGATGCCGTGTGCAGGGCTGCCTCCAGGACCCCGGCTTCTCCTCTGGGTGTGTGGCTTTTTCATTTGGGCTGTCTAATATGCAATTGCAGTTGTAGCTTTGCCAAATATTCAGTGTTTGTTGGTGACAAGAGGGTGCCAATTTCCTTGTTTGCAGGCTCTACCAGACTTCAAGGGAAAAATAGGGGAAAAGGACATCTTAACATTAAAAATTCTCCCCAAGTTCCATTTTATATCAAATTATGAGCATATAGGCCCCCCCTTTTTTTTCATTTGAAAGGAGAGTGGGATTCTGTTTTTATCATGGTGAGTAGGTTGGTAATGTTTCATCCTGAGGTGGGGGTTTCAGCCTCGTGGATGTGCAGGCTGCCAGCCTGGAGCCTCCCCAAAGGACTGGTGGGTGGGTGCGCTGGGGCAGCTGCAGGGATTGTATCATGCTGGCCCCTCAGTGACCTCGCCTGCATTACCAGCCAGACTTGCAAACCAGAGGGCATTTCTGCTTTCAGAGCAGTGTCTATCGAGGGATTCCCTTGGCATGAAACAGGATCACCAGCAAATGAGGTCCTCAATGGTGTGTGTGTGTGTGTGTGTGTGTGTGTGTGTGTGTGTGTGAGCACCCACAAATACATATATATATATTTGAAGGCAGCAACTTAGATTTACTATATTACAAAAATAGCCTTGTTAGAAAACATGGTTTGGACATGGAACTTCTGATCACATCAGGACAAGAAGCAAAAGAGTTCAGGAGATGGAATGAACTCAGTGTGTGTGTGTGTGAGTGTGTGTGTGTGTGTGTGTGTGTGTGTGTGTGTGTGTGTACACAGGGCCTGTGTGTCCCTGAACAAATGGATCAGAGCTCAGTGAGGCTGACGGCTGTTCGCTGTTCTCCGGCAGTGGGGGAGGCTGACAGGGTTCCCAGCAGATCTGTTTCAGCTGGTCCCTGCCAGGCAGCTGCCATACATTAACCCTCTCCCTCCCTAGCTTCAGGCTGTGGATAGCCTGCCCAGGTTCCTGCAAGGGCTTGGGATTCCCTTCAAGATCACAATCATCCATGTGTAGTTTCTTTGTAGTGGCTGCCAGTTTGGACTCTGCTTTGTGACCTGGCTATGTCTCCTGGTTTTCAGTGAAGAAAGTCAACTTTTTGGGACGAATTCTGGTGAATTCTCCTTGAAGGGTAAGGAAGAACCACCCAAGGTTTGTTTTGTCCTGGCTCTGGGAAGAGTTTTCTTGTGCTTTCCTCCTTTTTCTGGGGCACAATGGGGTACAATGCAGTGGTTAGTGGATATTTGCAAAGTGAAAATAAATGATATTTCCTCGTATTACACATATCAGTCCTTATGAATTTGCAGATTTTAACTCTATCCGAGTCACTGACTTGCTATAGTGCCAAAACACCCAGCTCAATGAATTTGCTCCTGATTTATCTTCTATTCGCTCCACTGCCATTGAACCTTAGGATTTTAAGCTGTCATTTACTGTATAATTATTGATCAAAATAACAGTATAAAATATGTTTTTACCTTTTTTTAGGAGAAGAAATAAAGTTGTTTAGCACTTCACTTCACCCCTTGTACTGTTTTTTCTTCCATGAATTAAAGGAATATTGGTCTCTTTACGTAGATGTGTTCTGCTGATGGGGCTGCTTGAAAACTGCTGTCCCATGAGCGTTTTCTCCCTAACTTCAAAAACTTAGCAACCATTTTCCCTAAGCCTGAAAGCAAGGATACAAACCTGAAGCCCTCAAGCCTCTGTATCCCACTGTTCACACTTGCTTGTGATTTTGTCCAGAGCTGGCTTTCTAGAATATGTCCCGGTTCTGAAGATTGGGAATACATGCTGGTTTTCATAGTTTAAGGAATAGTCAGGATTTAACCTGGCCCAGGCCGCATTAATGATGTGAGTCTCTCCTTTCCCAGGAGAGTCATGCGAGTGCTCAACCTACGGTTAAGGCCTGGACACGTCTCATTTTATTTTTGCTGAATATACAAATAACTAAAAGTTTTTTTTTCCTGGCAACTATTCCAATGTCCATGGCTTTTTAAATGTAAGGAGAGGGCAGGCAGATGGAAAAACACAAAATCAGGGTGTAGGTAATTAAGTAAAATCATAGGAGAGGGAGGAGAGGGGAAGTAAAAAGAATTAAGATGTGTTAAGCACATATACCAATTCCCCACCATGAATGCGATCATTGTATATTGCAAATATATACCAATAAAAATTGATTTTGTTTCTTAAAAGCCCAAAGTTGAGAAATCTTATCTGACTGTGGCCAGCCTCCTGAAGCTAGTATATTCATGCCTTCTTTGAGATGCCTTTTCAAGTTAAGCAAAACCTACCACCAGTTATCTTTATATTCTCTTTTGCTCTTTCTCTCTCTTGGCCTTGAAATGAAATGAACACTTCCTTATCCACGTTTCAAAATTTCGACCATTTTATGAATACATAGAATTCGCGTTCTGGAGGTGGGGAAAGAAATCACATTGAAAATGCCCCATTTTGCATTGTGGCTTATTGGACAAGAACAAGAGTAGTTTGACGGCAGCATCAATTTCAGAAGCATTTTTAGCAGCACATTTGGTCCACATGCATGGTGGCAAGATTGACAGGACAGACCTTGATGGCTCCAAAGCATCAATAAAATACACACAGTGAAGGATTTACACAACAGACAGTAATGGCTTCTTTGGAAATGTTATGGTGTATTGAGTCAATAATAATCTGCTTTTTAAAGAGTGCCAAACTATGAATTTATACAGCGGATTCTAATGGCTCCTGATCTATCAGGTAAATTACATGAATTCTTAGACTGTATATAAGTGCCGTAGAACATGGACATCACCAGGATGTACTGTGGTGTGTACCACCAGCTACAGCTCCTCCCCAAGTGCTGGTAAAAATGATTTACTACAGCCGACGAGATGAAAACATTTGTTAACATTCAGAAGTTTAATGCCACGATTTACATTTCACCTTTAATTGACTATATTTTGATAAATACTCTGGATTACTTGTATCAACATAAACTGTTTTCTCTAAAGATAAGTTATTTTCATTGCAAACTATATTTAAAACACTTTGATTACATGATTTTGCAGCGGGTTGATGTGTAATGTTTAATTTACTCATGGTATTTGTAAGTAAACCTCTGTTCTATCTATTTATAATTTCTATTTTCTTCTAGGATATGGAAATAGACATTCTGGAAGGTACGGTGCTGCGGCTGTGCGTAGCCAAATGTCTGATTCTTTCCAGCAGATGGAGGCATACTGCAAGAAGCTTCCAATGAAACAACCAAAAATATTTTTTCCCCGGGAAACACTAACATTTAGGGGGAAAAATATCCACAAAAGAGGGAAATTAAATGAATAACTTGCACCAGAAATGGTAGGATGACATAGCCGTACCTAATGAAGAATCCGGAGCACAGACATTCCATAGACCTTTCTTGCTGTGAGCATTTTTCTCTCTTGGCTTCCTTTCTGTTTTAGTTGGAAAATTTTCCAGAAGAAAAGCCTAGTGAGTTATTTGATAAATAAAATCTGTTAAGACAAACATGCTCAGAGATACCTTCTCAATTTTTTCCAAGCAACTGAAATAACAAATGCACTACCAGGAAATGATTATACGTATCGAGTCACACACACAGGCACACACATACAAATACACGTGTACGTACATGTGCGTGAAATGAGAAAAACTCAGAACCATTCTGAGCTTGTTTTATTCACGTTGCAGGTGTGTGTTTTACTTATTTGGTCAGAACCAATGTTCCTCTGGTTCTTTTGTGTTTGTGAGTATCTGTCTGCCAGCGGATTTTCTGAAACAGCCTACGAATTTTAAGCACAAATTGACTAGAAAAACATCTGTCTGAAAAGGTGGGTCTTGTGGAAGTGAAGGGATTTCTTCCAGACCATCTCCCTTTTCCACTTCTAGGACAGACTCTCATATGTTGTCTCTAAAGGACAAATCAGTGGCTGAAGAGTGCACACGTTCCAGACGAGAATGGTCTGCTGGAAAGGACATGGAAGCTTTGGGACCTGCGGTATGAGAATGTGGTGTAACAAAGTACAGGTCTCACCTTCCTTAGCAAGAGGAGGAGGGCAGAATGACAATGAGGAAATCCCAAGGTCCCTGCTCCTCCGCTTTCCCCCAGTGTCTGTTCCCTGTGAATATCTACAATCTACTCTATTGACTGGTTTATCAGGCAGCAGGTATCTGTATCAGTCTATCTTGAATTGTCATCCAACAGAAGATTAAATGCTGCCTGCCTCCTTCTTGTGATTTTCAGTCTTCACATCACAGAGTTTTCAATCAAATTTCAGCAGTGTGCATTTAGCTTACGGAACTCTGTGCACTTATCTTCCCGAGGCAGGGGATTTAGACTATGTTTACTTGTACGGTTCCAAGATATCGATCTGCAGACCTGTCCACATTTAGGGTGTGAGATGAGTCCCAAATCTATGCTTTTTCTCCTTCTTTTTAGTCTCCTACACATCTTGGCCCAATAGCAACAAGAATCTAAATAATGAACAAGAGCACATTTTTAGAGGATTCATGCCAGTTTTCAAGATGAAAGAATCACAACGATGAACAAAATTGTTCTAAAAGCTTTCTAATTAATAATCTTCAAAAGTGCTTGATCTTCACTGAGTTTTCAGCTCATCAGTCAGCCAGAAGAGAAGTCCATCGGTGGAATACACTTCCTGTCCTACCATTGGAGACCTGAGGAAGCAAGGGTCTGGAACAGAGCCACAGAAATAAACCTCACTTCTATTTATGAAGAATTCAGGGTGAGCATTCTGGTTTTAAGCCAGTATGGAACTTCCATCATGGCTGTCTGATGTTTTGAATTCCTGATAAACAGACTAACAAGACTCTGGATTAACAGAAACCAGAGAGAAAGACACATGAGTCCTTTCCATACTGGCCACTGGAAGTCAGTGGCAAGTCCAGCGTGATGGTGTTGGCCAGACACTTTCTCTAAGTAACAGAAGCAGTGGTGGCTGTTAGTATCATTTGTGATTTCTCCCCACTTGTTAGATCTTTTCATCAAAGTGTGTCTCATGAACCAGTCCACGAAATGGGTAAGGGTAGCCTGTGCATGACGGGTTTGTCCCGGGCAGATCTGAAGTGAAAGATGGCATAGCTTCCCCTGGGGCGTACCAGGAATGCCCACATCATGAGGTTCAGTTTGGAGCCTCTCTCTTGGACTTTCCAGCTGTGTGTATTTCTTGCTGAATGTTTTATGGGCACATGTGTAGACGAGATTACATTGCCCAAGAGCCAAGAGTCATCCCCTGCCAACTCATTGCAATTAAAAACCTATATTACCTCTCTGGCATGGGAAAACAGAAACTTGAACAGGAGCAGGGGCCTAAAAGCTATTATTTTCTTGCTGAACTGGAGGAGGGTTGAGGTTTTATTTGTATCCTCAAAAACTGGCTCTGCCATTTGTAGAGGTTGGATCCCACCAGAACATTCACAGCTGCCTCTGAGCCATGGTAGAGGTGGGAGATGGAGTTGGTCTAGTAGGCATAGCTCTGAGGAACCTGCTGACTATAGCCATAGACACTTCCAGGGTAGCTGTCTTTGTAGCTTGCTGTGTGCATTAGAGATTTTCCTACTCATGCTTCTGAACACCCCCAGTACCCCTACAGCCTGAGACCTGGGGATCTAAGACTGACTGAAAAAGGGGTTTTTACTGAAAAGAATCATTTGATGTTGCCAGGGGCTTGATCTTCCACATACCCAGCTTCCTGCCACTTACCAGTGAAAATGAAGGTTAAAACCAGAATCCCCATGTGGTTCCTCAATCCTGCACACCAAAAGGTGAGAATGATCTTATTGGAAGTAGAATGATCAGCAATATTCAGTGATGCAAACATTCTGTTTAGAAAATCCTCAGTTTTACAGAGATCTAACATTTTATCCAGCATGTGAGTATTTATGACAAACTTTAAGATTAAACCATCTATTACCACAAAAATATCAGTAGTTGTGTAAAGGGAACTATTAGAGGGGTGAGGGGTTAGCATCTTAGCAAAACCTATGGGTAAAGGTTCCCATGCTTCCTGCTTTGGAAGCCAGAACTAAGCATGGCGTAATCTCTGAAGAATGAATTCACCTCTCATATATAGATTCTTTACAGATTTCTTCTGTTTAAGTTGCAGAAGGTCCCTGGAACCTGTTTTCATTAGTGAGTAAGCATCCTAAAAACAATTTCTAAATTGCATGAAATGTGTACATTATTAGCAAAAGGTTGCTTGTACATAGTAAGTCACACTGATTCTGGAATTTAAACAGAGGACTCAATTTTGATGAATTGGTTTGAATATGTATTGGTTTAATAATAGTTCTACTTGGGTAACATCTATCTAAGGAGACCATTTGGAAGTGAAAGATGTTTCATTTTAACACAAAGGTATAAAAAAAAAATCAAGTACCAGTGGTATGATTGGAAAACGTTTAAATTTTTTAAAAAATTGCAAGATCAATTGCTTTTAACTTCCTTAGAAAACACTCCCTCTCCTTTTGCACATATGTATTCCGTTGTTCTGGCCACTCTCTGAAGCAGCTCTAGAAGGCCTCTTTCCCGAGCGTCTCTTCTTACACTGCTGTGGCTATGTAGGTGTCCTGAGCTGACGCAGACGTTTACCATGCGGGTCTTTTTGACATTGGGAAGGAGCCAGCAGTCTCGAGGTGCCAGGGCTGGTGAATAAGGTGAGTAAGGACACATGGAAATGTTTTTATGAGCCCGACTTTTCACTGAATGGTACTCAGCAGGAATACTCATCATAGTTTTGATCACACCTCATACAGACACCAAACCAATTCACTGATTCCTATCAATTTCCACCCAAAATTTAGCCTGTAAAATCTTCAAGGGAAAGAATAGTACACTGTAATTTTCAAATCTCCAGTTATTAGCACATGGAAAGCTTGTTAAATGAACAAATTATATATATAAGTTTAATGTGTTTGGCAAAAATGTATACATTTATTATTACTATTAGTGATTAGTTTTGTAGGGAAGAATTACTAGAAAAAAGAAGTTATAGATCCTAATAGGACTTGCACTGTGACCCAAATTTGAGGTAGGCAAAGGAGAGTGGGAGAAAACCAACTTTAGGCGTCTTCAATAGAGACATACCAATTTTGGTTTTGTTAAATGCGTCTTTCCGCACTGGCAGACTAAACATTCCTCTTGTTCTACACAGATGAGAATGATTTCTGTCTGATTCCCATTTTTCTTTAAGCCAGTCAATGAACTTCCGATCACAGCACATCTAGAGAGCACTACAGTTTGAGACTTCATGTACACCATCCTGTTGTGTGTTTTTGACACCATTCAGTTATGTGGTAGCATTATTTGACAAAAAGCTATTCAGAACTGGTCCTTCTGAAGACTCAGTTAACTGCACACAGCCTACACATATATGACACTGATTAAAAAATGAAGGAAAAATTCCAAGATTTAGAAACACATTTTGCTATAGTTAGGAACAGTAGAACAGAATGCCACTGTATGTGTCCACTCCCGATGTGCTTTATGACGTGCTGGTTTAGAAGTCAAAAGATAGAAGCTTTGTCTCTCCCAACTCCATTGGTTAGAACTGATGCCTTGAATTACACTCATAACATCTCTGAACCTCAATTTTCTGGGTGAAAATTTAAGTCAATAATAAAATAATTGTACTTGAGTTCAGTGTGCTTCAAATTGTAGGAGGTATTGGAAACAAAAGTGTCATTAACGTTAATCACAACAATAACTACCATTTGAAATTTTAGGAGCTACTATCCAGAAGTACTTCTTAATTTAAAATGCTGAAACATGAGCAAATGAGAGCCATTTTCTATGAAATCCTACATTTGTTTTACTTTGAATATTACCCTTTTACCAAGCACAAATGCTCTTGCGCACAGCGCACACTGTAAACAGAGGGATTATAAAGTCAAATGTGCACATTTTAGATTTTTAAATTTGTGGGTCTTGAATTAATCTCCAGGGCAGCAGCAGGAGTGAGGTGTTTAGATACGGAGTAACCCACACTTTGCCGTGTGTTCATGCAACAATGCTAATTCTCCTCTCAGTTGACTGGGATGTACCGATTTCATGAAAATATCAGAGCCGGTATACAGAAAAGACATTATGGTGTCACAATGTGACGAAATGATGTTAATTTGTGTGTGGAAAGTCTGTATCTCTGCCAAGAGGAAACAGAACCTGTACTCAGCCATGTCGTGCCTTGGCACTGCAGAACTAAAGGTCTCAAGTGGAAGGTCCCAGAATGCAGGGGTGTGACAACCCGCAGGGAGCAAGATATATTTCCTTCTTCTCATCTTGGGGCTAAATGTAAAGAGAGGAGAGGTCTTTGAGGGATTGCAGCATTGTACCAAAGACTCTAATCCTGCCGTGGTTCAGACAGGAAGGAAAGTGCCAGGTCCAGGGCGAGCCCGGAACAGATTTGGGAGAGACCTGGGGTTGGGAAGGGCGTTCTGGCAGCCAGTGTGGACAGGCTTGCAAGTTTGAGGTTCCTGCCTCTCAGGAAAGTGA